TCCCCATCTGATTTGAGATCTGCTGGCTGCATGTAGGTACATGGTCTGTCACCATCCTAGCTCCAACTACAATGATAAGGGGAAGACAGTACAAAGCTGACATTAAGACAACCAGATACAATAAAATGACTTGAGGATTTCCTTTCTGAAAATAAATAAAATGTGAATCTAATGTGGAGTGATGACTCTTGCATTGTTTTCTTTAGTTGTGTTTAGTACAGCATTGATCTCCTGTTTCACTTGTGTTGTTGTTATTGTACTTGCCATGATGTGTCAATAAGCATGAGATTTATTGTGATGCGTGTTAAATTATCATCAGTTTCTCTGTTCACTGTTCATTTGAAGTATATGCATGGTGACTGTTAGGCAAAATAAGCCTCACATGTTGCCTCATATAATGACAAAAAAATAGATCCCCATACACTCCAGTTTTCATAGTCCTACAAATAAGTTAACATCACGATTTTGATGTAAAATAGGGGAAAAAATGGAACCTTAATTTACAATACTTACCACACATCAAATTCTACTGATGTTAGAGACCTAAAAAGCTGATGAAATGTTGACCTCAGATGTCCAATTAAAAAATAAAAAGACCTCTGGAAGGAGCTATTCTGAGGAGCTATTTGGGTCTGCTGGAAACAATTTTTTCTGTGTCCTCACCAAATTTCATGGCTCTGGGAATTACATTTCTGGAGCTACTGAACCCCTAAAATTGCTTCCCAGCCAAAAATATTTTACAGAACTTAGTTGTGGGTCCCAAGTAACAAACAGATAAACTCTGAAAAAAAAACCTGAGGACTGCGTAGCAACATATTTCTGTCTGAACTGACATGGACCGATTTGACATTTCTACTATCGCATCAGTAAAATGAGCTGCAAGGTGACTCGGTGGTTAGTACCGTTGCCTCGCAGCAAGAAGGTCGCCAGTTCGCATCCATGGAAGGACACCCGGGATCTTTCTGCGTGGAGTTTGCATGTTCTCCCTATGCAGTGTGGGTTCTCTCCGGGTTCTCCAGCTTCCTCCCACACAATCCAAAAACATGTTGAGGTTAACTGGTGATTCTAAACTGTCCGTAGGTGTGAATGTGAGTGTGCTTGGTTGTCTGTCTATAAGTGTAGCCCTGTGATAGACTGGTGACCTGTCCAGGGTGTCCCCTGCCTTCACCCTAAGTCGGCTGGGACAGACTCCAGCGCCCCACGGTCCCAGTGAGGATTAAGCGTTGTATAGATAATGGATGGATGGACATCAGTTAAATCAGTGAGCACTACAGCTGAACAGTTAATCAAAATATAATAGAAATCACAATATTCTAGAGTGCAATATCCAAATTGCAGGAGCTGCGATTTGTTGATAATGTGTCACAACATACCATTATACAGAAATTAATTATTGTGGTTTACAGAGATGCCGCAGCATATACACATGTGGACAAAATTGTTGGTACCCCTCGGTTAATGAAAGAAAAACCCACAATGGTCACAGAAATAACTTGAATCTGACAAAAGTAATAATAAATAAAAAATTCTATGAAAATTGACTAATTTAAATTAGACATCGCTTTTGAGCCGTGGTTCAACAGAATTATTTTTTAAAATAAACTCATGAAACAGGCCTGGACAAAAATGATGGTACCCTTAACTTAATATTTTGTTGCACAACTTTTTGAGGCAATCACTGCAATCAAGCGATTTCTGTAACTGTCAGTGAGATTTCTGCACCTCTCAGCAGGTATTTTGGTCCACTCCTCGTGAGCAGACTGCTCCAGTTGTCTCAGGTTTGAAGGGTGCCTTCTCCAGACGAGATGTTTCAGCTCCTTCCACAGATGTTCAATAGGATTCAGATCAGGGCTCATAGAAGGCCACTTCAGAATAGTCCAGTGTTGTCCTCTTAGCCATTCTTGATTGTTTTTAGCTGTGTTTTGGGTCATTATCCTGTTGTAAGACCCATGACCTGTGACTGAGACCAAGCTTTCTGACACTGGGCAGCACATTTCTCTCTAGAATACCTTGATAGTCTTGAGATTTCATTGTACCCTGCACAGATTCAAGACACCCTGTGCCAGATGCAGCAAAGCAGCCCCAGAAGATAACAGAGCCTCCTCCATGTTCCACAGTAGGGACAGTGTTCTTTTCTTGATATGCTTCATTTTTGCGTCTGTGAACTTAGAGCTGATGTGCCTTGCCAGAAAGTTCCAGCTTTGTCTCGTCTGCCCATAGGACATTCTCCCAGAAGCTTTGTGGCTTGTCAACATGCAGTTTGGCAAATTCCAGTCTGGCTTTTTTATGATTTGTTTTCAACAATGGTGTCCTCCTTGGTCGTCTCCCATGAAGTCCACTTTGGCTCAAACAGCGACGGATGGTGCGATCTGACACTGATGTACCTTGACCTTGGAGTTCACCTTAAATGTCTTTAGAGGTTGTTCTGGGCTCTTTGTTACCATTCGTATTATCCGTCTCTTCCATTTGTCATCCATTTTCCTCCTGTGGCCACGTCCAGAGAGGTTGGCTACAGTCCCATGGATCTTAAATTTCTGAATAATATGTGCAACTGTAGTCACAGGAACATCAAGCTGCTTGGAGATGGTCTCATAGCCTTTACCTTTAACATGCTTGTCTATAATTTTCTTTCTAATCTCCTGAGACAACTCTCTCCTTGGCTTCCTCTGGTCCATGTTTAGTGTGGTACACACCATTCCACCAAGCACAGTAACTACTTGTAACCCTATAAATAGGCTGACTGATTACAAGTTTGTAGATACCTGTGATGCTAATTAGAGGACACACCTTGATTGAACATGTCCCTATGGTCACATTATTTTCAGTCTTTTCTAGGGGTACCATCATTTTTGTTCAGGCCTGTTTCATGAGTTTATTTTTTTAAATAATTCTGTTGAACCACGGCTCAAAAGCAATGTCTGAATTTCATTGGTTAATTTTCATAGAATTTTTTATTTATTATTACTTTTGTCAGATTCAAGTTACTTATGTGACCGTTGTGGGTTTTTCTTTCATTAACTGAGGGGTACCAACAATTTTGTCCATGTGTGTAAATTATATTTTCTGGCCATGTTGAAAAAAAATGCTTGTTTGATGCCGGCTACAGCAAAACTTGCTTCCTCCTTTTTGGATTTATTTCAATGGAAAAGGCATGCATTCCTATCCACAACAAGAGTGCTGCATGCCCAAACACTAGTACTACTAAAACCATGCAGTTGCTGGGATCATAGTAGAGCTCGCACTGGGACCTGTGTGCAGGAAACCCATACCTAAGGTGTGAGTTGTTAGAAAGTTCACATTCAAGTGTCCAGTCAACTGAATGCTGTTGGTAAAATGGGTTTCCATGTAACAAGGGGGCCTGCATTTAAGTAATAATGAGTCCAACTTCTGCACATCTTCAAACAAAGAAAAAAGTACAAGGAGGAGGCAAACATCACATTTTATTGACATACACATCCAGTATACTGTATTTGAACAGACTACAACTGCCTTACTTTGGCGCCATCTATTGGTAGTATCCAGACACAGCAGTTAAATTGAATGGACTGACAAAAGCACATAGACATCACCTTTGTCTGCATCCCAAAATGTAAGCCATTAGATAACAGTGAAATACAACCTAAGTAAGAGTGGATGACAGAGTGACACTGTGGATTAAACTTAACTTCCTGCATCTGCTAGACTTACTACCTTATTTAATGTCAATGACAAATGAATTTTGTTTAGGAGTGTGGAAATTAGATTTAACAACCTGACCTCCTGAGATTTGATGCTCTCTTAGATGCAACCTACAGGATGGCTGTCCAGTGTGCAGGCACACATAATGATGACAAGATTTTGGTTGTTAATCTGAAGTCAATGTGCCTGTGACATGTTACTGAACAGGTTGGCTGCTGTTTAACCCAACTGCTGACGGCCTTACCAGAAATAACATCAAATATTTCCAAAGCTCTTTGACTTGGTCCAGAATTTCTAAATTTAAGTGCTGATTCTGAACTTATCAAAATAAAATAAGTCACATTCTAAGGGTGATACAGTCGTCCTCAAATGTATTCATACCCTTCCAATAAAGAAGGGAAAAAAGCAGCTGTCACTGAAATAAGCTGAAATTGACAAAAGTAAGAATAGTAATTAAAAAAAAGGAAAATCATGACATTGCTTTTGAATTGTGGTTCAACAGAAATACCCTCCCACCCAAAAACCCCCCAAAACAAACAAACAAACAAACAAACCAAAAAGCAAACAAGCATGATGGGACCGTAAACTAATATTTTGTTGAATGACCCTTTGAGCCAATCACTGCAATCAAGTGTTTTCACTGCTCATCAGTCAAAGTGATCTAATTTGTCCAGGACAGTTTTTTTTTTGTTTGTTTTTAAAAATATATATTTATTGTTATTCTTTTCAACCACAATTCAAAATAAGTGTCTTATTTCACTAAATTGTAATTTAGCTAATTTTTATTTAGTATTACTTTTTTCAGTTTCAAGTTATTTGAGTGACTTGAGTGAATTTTGTCTTTTTTTAATGGAAGGGTAAATTTGAGAACGACTGTATGTCAGTCAAATATGGAAGATTTCATTAGGTAGCATTCACACACAAAAAGCTGTAACCATTTCCTTAACACTAGCTGAAAAGGGAAAAAGACAATTTTCCTACTCTTTGGTACCTTCTAGTAAACACTGGCAATACTGTGCATTGAGTGCATGAGGCAAACCTGCAGAGTTTAATGTGCAATACTGTGAAAAGTTCTAACAGGAAATAAGTTAGGTGACAGTCATAAATCTTAAATTGGACTGGATGGAACAGTCATTCAATTTGTTAAAAATGAAGAAAAAAAGGGCTAGATGACGGTTCAGTTATTAGAGAGTGAGGAATAAGAGAGGTTTCAGTGAGGGCTCTGGTCCTGTGTTCGAGGTCGCCCATGAACGATGGAAGCGCGCTCCCGACACTTCAGGTGAATGAGAGTGAAGCAGAGGAGCGGGATACGGTTCACTGTGCGTCGCATTAAAAAAAGGAACAATTACAGGAAAATGAGTTGTGCTACGTCGCTTGGGGCGCATGTTTTTGTGACAGCTTATCTACTTTTCGTGGTGGGATGCGTTGCACAGAAAGTAAGTTGACATTTGTTTGCTGCAAAAATAATTCCCAAAGCTGTAACTCCAGCCCTGCTGAGTGTCGAGCTCACTTGTGTGGAGAGGACCAAGCCACGGACTCCGTTTGTAAAACTTGGCATTCAACAGGTGTTTGCTTCTTGGCAAATATTCTGACTCTCAGAGACGTGAAGCAAGTTATTTTAAGAAAAAATAGGTGTCAGCAGTCATTTCGGCGTACACGTGAAACATAAAGGAAGACTTGCGTCAGCTACATTTTAAATTTAAATGTAGTTCGTCTGTTACTACCAACATACAGTACACCGTTGTAGGCTATCGCAGGCGGCGGTGCGTAGTGTGAACAATGTTGACATTTTAAAACTTTATATGCTTTTTGTTTACTAAAATTTCAGCCGACCGTATCACAACACCACTCTGCTTCGAAAACCGTGAAAGCTCATGTTTGACAGTGCAGAGCAGATCAGCAGTTAGCGATGGACTTTTAAATTCACAGTTTTTACAGTTGAGTTTTGCTAACAGAGCAGGACGTTTACGTGACCCCCTCCAAGCGCTGCATCTGATATTGCGAAAGTTGTGAAGGAAATAAACCATGCTGCATAAACAGGTTATCAGAATGGTCAGTGTGGGATTTGAAATGGTGTCTGTCCCTAACATGCAGCCAGCACATCCACCTCATGTAGCTTATATTAACCAATCAGTTTGTTTTTCAAGTAATTTTGTAGTTTACTATATAAAAATATGCCATGTGGCTTTTTAAAACTCTAGAGGAAAAAGTAATATCCACAACACCACGTTAGCCATAGCCAGACTTCATAACTCACTTCATGTTGACAGACTCTCATGCACCTTTGCCAAAAGGTTCTTAAAGTTTTGGTCTGTATTTTAGAACTTCCACACTCTGTGGCACATTATATCCTCTGGGGCTTTCAAAGGGATGTTTTGATGGCACAGGCATGTTTTGATGTTACTGCACTTCACAGACTTGGAGAGAATGGCATGCAGAGTCCAAACTGCTGAAATGAGAACCACATTGGGAGCATGTTAACCTTATGTTTTACTTTTCATACTCACAGAATATGACTTCTCAAGCTCTGCCTCTGACATGGAAGGGAGTTTACGATCAGGAGTTTGTCTCTGTTGAACTGGAACACAAACAGTCAGGCGCTTTGCTTCTCGGACATGTTTTTTCATTCAGTCAGGCTGTCATTCATGTTGGACGTGTTTTGGCTTCTCCCGTGGTGGAGTTAAAGCCCCTGTCAGGTTAGAAAAGGCTCACACATGTCAGTGGGGGCTTAAGAGGTGATTGGTCGAGGTGTTAAAGTTGTTTTGAGGCAATAAGCTGAGATGCCACTGAGGTGTTAATGTGGATAAATGCATCAGAAAAATAAGTCACGAAGAATGACAGGACTTATTGTGAGAAGCCTTGTTTAGACAGGGGCATCGCTACTTGTTCCTTAAGCAAGGAAATGTTGATGTGATGTGTCAGTACTGAGAAAATACTGCAAGTCCTGTAGTGTGATCTCTATATATTATTGCTTTTTGTGTTGGAAATGCAAATAAAATATTCTGAAAATGAGAGGGATGTACACTCAGTCTTCTGATCGCATATTCATCTGTTTCTAATGTCTGTATGATGCAGCATAATGTGCCCATGTGTGACAGTGGCTGCTGTCATCATAATTTAAAAGGGAAACCCCTGACACAGATCGGACACAGATCTCCCAGGACATCAAGACCACATTGTCAGCAAGGAGAAGCTCCGCGGCTTCCACCTGTCAGGAGTCGTCCCATTCTTCTCACGGAGAATGACGGCTCAGCAGCACAATTCTTAGAACTGGACAACAAAAGCCCTCGGTATATTGAATTGTCAGAGTCTCCAGCTTTAGTTCCTGTGTGTTTGGGTGCTCACTATCTTTGCAATTATCTGCCTGAGGGGGCACGGTAAATGATGGCTTTGTCCTCCGCTCCCCTTTTGTATTAAGTTGATTTTTGGAACAGCATAAACAAGCTTGGAATTTATTCTATCCCCATCGGGGGGGAAAAAAATGTGAAGCGTCCCATGTCTGTTGGTCCACAATTCAGCTCTGTGCATGAGGGAGAGTGAATCTGATTGTTGTTGTGGCGCTCTGCTCTGTGTTTCTGGAGGTTTTATTTGTGATGGAATGAGCAGACATTCATCTCTAACGGAATTGAGTATTGGTGCCAGTGAACAGTAAATTCACTTATTTCTCCCATGAATTATCTCACAGCAGATACACACAGTCTGTCAGCAGGGAAAACTGTCACTGTGTGTCGGTGAACTGCAGTGGGTTGAGTTGTGATGAAAGGGCCAAGGATGGAGTGATGAACAGAGAGTTAGACAGAGACTCATTGGAGGCTGTAGGATATTTGTCTGTGGTAGTAATAAAACTGTACAATACTGCTGTTACCATTCACACTGGGTGAGGTTTTCAGGTGGTCTCTTAGCATTAGAGAAGCCAAACAACACTGAGGTAATGGCTGATAAAATACTTTTGTCTTTAGAGTACAAGCTTTAGGAGGTGCATTGGGTCTACACTGCATTTGTTTTACTTTCATCTTTCACAAGTTGTAAAAGCACCAAACTATTGTAGACTGAGAGGCATATAAAGTATTTCTTGCTTGTAGAGAATCTCAAATGGTTCGAATCTAAACCGCAACACAGGCAGATTTTAAGATGATAGTTTGTGCCTCTCATGTATTAGCCGACCATTGTATTCGAGTCACAGAAACAAGCACCAGATTTTTCTGAGTAATCAATTACAGGAAATCTTTGAAAAACCCAAAAGGTGGTTTAGCAAAACGTAACACTATTCTGAACGTGATATTTAGATATCTTAAAACGCAATATGGGCAAGTCCAATATCCACACTGTAGGAACTGTAGTTTTTGAATGAAGTTAACAAATGTCACAAATAGAATTTGCAGTGAGATATTGTGGTGCTACAGAGATGCCCTGGCCTTCTTCACAGTGGGAGAAAAAGAAAAATAACAATTTACACTAAATACATGACTCATATTGCAATGTCTGCTAAAATAATCACACTATGATTTTGTTTGCATTTCGTTCAGCCCTATAAACAAAACAAAAAAAAAACAACTCAAATTTTCTATGTTTTTTTTTTTTTGTTTGTTTTCAAGCCCAAAACAAAGCTGGTAGTATATTCACATGGACATTCAATATGTTCAACCGACACTGAATATAACATATCTTAGCAAGTGGCTTAATTGAGTTACCCCTTGAGAAACAGGGAAAATTGCAAAACTCTTTTTTTGTGCAGCAGATAGAATGCTTTTTTTCATCTCTATAGTTAGACAAGTCCTTGAGGTCTCTGGAAAAACTTTTAGAGCATTTAAAAAATAAAAAATAAAAACATAAAAAAAAGATTTATTTTGACCTTTTATTGGACAATTAGAGCAGAGAGAGACAGGAGATGTGAGGAAAGAGAGCAGGAGAACGATGAGAAGTAAAGGTACGAGCTGGCCGGAGTCAAGCTGGAGTCTTGCTGCCTGAAGGCATGTGTGCCCATGTGGTATTTGCAATCATCACTTGACTATCAGGCTGCCCAAACCTTCTGGGTATTTTTTAAAATCAGATGTTTAGTTCTTTGTCTTTGTGAATATAGTGCCAATAAATAAGAGGCACACATTGGGACTAAGTCGATGTACCAAAATTCTCAGTGGCTCAAAAGACATAATAAGACAAATTAAGATATATAATTTTATTAAAGAATTTAAATTACATTGTTTTTTTAGGAACAGAGATAAATCATTACATTTTGGAGCATGAAGCAGTTCAGCGTTTACTATAGCGGAGGACTCTGACAGCTTTGACAACAAAATAAGCTTTTCTGGCAATTTTTATGTCATGGTTACACTTGGAAATATTGTTGTATCCATTTAAACGCTGATTGATTGCAGTTAACTGTGTCAGTACAGCCCACAGGATTGTGCTTGTCACTGAGATGCTGCCCAAAGACTAATTATCATGGCCGCATTCACTGGATCTCATTCCAAAATCTGGAAATGATTTCTCCAAACTGGTTGGAACCACTGTGAAGATAAGGTCACGTTTCACCGCAGGGTTCCACAGGCTCGCTTTAACAGCTACCGCAGCAGCTCTTTTTAGAGGAAATATGTTAATAGGTTTTGCACCACAAACATGGAAAAGAGCGCCTGCGTCTTCCTGTTCTCTCGCCCACCCAGTCGCATATCTGTGCAAGTTTGAGGACCACAGCGGTAACGATTTAACAGTGCTCCACTTTTCCATGTAGGCTGCAGTGAACGTCTCCGGGATGGCTCTGTAAATAAAATGCGGATCAAACATGATTGGACTCAAAGAGGTCTTTCATAAGTGACCGTGATGCACACAGTGGTGAAAATGTGCTGAGCTAGTGCAGCAGCGGCCAACAAGGGCGACCCTAGAAATGCCCGGGCTTAATCAGGCCGCCACGCCAGTTGTTTGTAAGCTCACCATGGGTTGACTGTGCAGCCACTGATACCACCAGGAGAGACTGGGACACACGGGAGATGGGATAAATTCCAGGTTTGAGCATTAGCACCAGCTGTGCACAACGGCTGCAAGTTGCTGCTTTTCTGTCTGTGCATCTGTAGGCAACGTGCAAAATATAGAAATGCAAATGGAGCTTATTGCAGAGATTGAGCTGCAGCTGATTTTGGATGTACCACACGAATCTAGTCCGCTTGCATACCTGCATCTCTCCATATTCAACTAATGTACTTTTAAAACCGCATTCAACTCATCACTATACAACACAGGAAGGTCAGTTTCTTTTTTCTATATTCTGTTTTCCCTGCAGTTTCTCTCTTCTAATACAGTGTGTGAGGTCTTGTATTTTTCTCCATTTGTGCAACTCCGGGAAATTCCTGTACGTTTGTTGAACTTTGAGGAAAAAAAAGCGCTTTTTATTCTAATTAAATTAGTGGCACTCCTAATCTTGTTAAACTGCAGCTTTCATTTG